TCTCCTGTGTCATGGAAGAAGTACATTTATTTCTTTGCCAGCCTTCGTCAGTGGTGCCCTCATCACACTTGATGAAATGTTTAAAGCATGCTTAAACTTACAGTGGTCTCCAGATTTTATCTGATCCTCTGTTTTACAATAATTGTTTACTTATCTTGATCTTTTAATAGGATGCAGTTCTTTATTTTACTTTAGTTTTAGAAACTTCTGCTAACCTGTGTATAAATGTTTTTGAAGATATTAGGTGTTCATTCACATTTTTATTCAGATAACTTTGACAGAATCCAAAGCTGTATGTAGCTGTATGGAAATTAAAGGGATTTCCCCCTTCCCCTTTTCTAGAGTATAAAAGACTCTGACACTGGTCTCAAAAATGTCTGATGGTCAGGGTACCCAGGTGGCTCAGTTGGTTAAGCATCCTACTTTGGTTCAGGTCGTGATCTCATGGCTCGTGAGTTCGAGCCCCGCGTTGGGCTCTGTGCTGACAGCTCAGAGCCTGGAGCCTGCTTTGGATTTTGTGTCTCCCTCTCTCTCTCTGCCCCCCCCCCCCCCCAGCTCATGCTCTGTCTCTCTCTCCTTCAAAAATAAATAAACATTTTTTTAAAAATGTCTAATGGTCAAAAAATGTCATTGGCTTTTGATATTTTAAGACTTTTATTCCCTTTCCTTTCTTTGGTTTGATTTGTAGATAATATACACCATGGAGTACTTTACCTTATTCTTCTCACTAGATTATATATTATCTTCTAAAACAGCAATAAAGCATGTTTGGTCATTTTTGTTTGAATCCCAGGAATGAGCTCTGACCAAATGGCAGCCAGCCCTGGCTTTCTCTTTAGCCAAAATTACATCTGCATTTTCCATTACCTCATTTATATTCTTTTTGCTCTCTTTCTTTTTTTATATATTTAAAATTCCTCTAACATTCTTTCATGGTATATTTTCTGAAGTTTACTTTAGATCACGTGAGGACTTGTGATATAAAAAGGCTGGGGATAGGGTTGCATTGATTTCTTTCCCCTGTTCGTAGTCTTTCTTTAAGAGCTTCTATCTTGAAAATAATGTATAGCAGTTTACAGATCTTCGTTTTAATCATAAACAGAATCAGATCCCCCACCCCCACCCCCAGTTCCAGCAGCTTTGCTGGTGGCATTTCTGGTTGCTGATGTTTCCATAATTGCAGTAAAAAAAAAAAAATTTGCAATTTTTTGAGCAAACCTTAACAGAAAAATAATAAAAATCTCAATAACTTTTATTCAGCACTTAATCCTGTATGCCTGACACTGTGTGTTTTACATAAATTGTCTAATTCTTAACAGTTTTATAAGGTAAATGATATTATATTCCCATTTTACAAGTGAAGAAACTGAGACAAAGAAGGTTAAATGGACTTACATAAAGATACGTATAATGGGCACCTGGGTGGCTCAGTCTTGATTTTGGCTCAGGTCTCACAGTTCCTAGGATCAAGCCCTGCATCAGCTCCATGCTTAATGTAGAACCTGCTTCGGATTCCTCCTCTCTCTCTCTCTCTCTCTCTCTCTCTCTCTCTCTCTCTCACCCTGTCTCCCCCTCCCCCCTTTTCCCAACTCAAGCTCTCTTGCTTTCAAAAATAAATAAATAAATAAGTATTTTTTAAAAAGATAAGCATTATATTTCATTTACAGTTCAAAGAAATAAAGCATTAGGGAATAATATTAATATTTTGGGAATCTGTATTGGAATTAAAATTTTGAGTTCATTTGTCCGTCTTTCCTATAATTATCTGTAGACTTACAATTTAGTAACTATTAACCCCACTGATAAAATTGAAAACTGAGCTTATTTTTGTTTATTTTTATTTATTTTTTTAGTGTTTGTTTATTTTGAAAGAGAGAGAGTGCACAAGCAGGAGAGGGGCAGAGAGAGAGGGAGAGAGAGAATCCCAAGCATGCCCCACAATGTCAGCACAGAGCCCAATGTAGGGCTCAAACTCATAAACTGTGAGATCATGACCTGAGCTAAAATCAAGAGTTGGATGCTTAACCTGCTGAGCTGCCCAGGTGCCCAGAAAACTGAGCTTATTTTTAGATGGCTTTTGGGAGAAGTAGGAGAGGAGGGGGGCTTGGCATTGTGAGTGGAAGTATTCTTTTCTTACTTGGTTGTCTTTTTATAGACACTAAAATAAAAGACTAAAAATCTGTGAGGGTATAATCTTTAGGTTACTATTAAGTATATAAAAACCATATCTTACTAGTATAGGTTTATAAGTAATTGTAAACATCTTCATAATTGCAGAAGTGTTTACAGACTTATTATATTATTACTCGTAGGAGTCCTAAGAAATATAACACTAGAAGAATTTGCACTCTCATATCATGACTTACAGAGTCAAGTGAGCACTGGACTAAAAATTTGGTCTTTCTGCTCTACCAAGCTTGGAGCCTGGGGATAGGTTTGTTTGTAGATACCTACTGAATTTCAAGGCAATGCCTAATATTGGCATTATTCAAAATCTCAAGTTTTAAAAGTCTACCTCAGAGATGCCAAGTTTCCTAGACATTGATGGCATCTCCCATTGAGTACAGAATGGAGTCTAAATCATTCTTAGGATAAGCTTCGTTTCATTTATTAAAAATGATTGAATCCTTCTGTAAAGCATCTCCAAAGTTAGAGTTCAGTCTTATTGAAGGTCGGGCAACCATGTCTTTATTCCTAAGTGACCTGCTAAGTAGCTAGCCATTGGACCACACAAGTGACCTATCTAATCTCTCAGAAGATCCTCACTTGGCTTAAATTCTTACTATGACTGTCTTCACCTTAGTTTTTCTTTATCTTTTCTTGTGATCCCATCTCTTAACTATCTGCCATAATAGCTTGTCATAGCTCTGTTAAGTTAGCAAATGAAGAGCTGGCTACTGTTCATATCCTCATTTTATAGATAAGAAAACGGAATATAAAAACTGCTCAAGGTAACACAGCTAGTAAATTGGTAGAGTTGGGCCTCAGATCCAAGTAGTACTGACTTTAGTACCTATACTTAGCCATCATATAATTCTGCTTCTTATTCCCTGCTCTACAGGAGCTCCAGAACAGAGCTATCTCGTGTCTAAAGGAGAGCAGAATGGGCCCAGTGGCCAAGGTGGTTTAGCATTGAGCCCATTTTTCTTGTTTGTATGTGGACTTTCACATCATTCTAGTTTTAATAAAACAATATTCTCCTGTGAAAGTTCTTTGAGACTTGTCTTTGATAGGGTTTTGGATGTTTACATGAAATGCTATATAAATGGAATGCCCTTGTACAATTTTATCCAATTAAGATTTGATAGAACAACTAGATGCCTAATTTATCCAGAAATCTTACAGCAGATTTTTTTTTTATTATTCTGGGGGTGGTAGGAGGGACTTCAAACCCATTTTAAGATAACCATAGGTAAAACAAAGAAAAGCACTACTTTAATATTTTGATGTTCTCTTGAAGCCTTTTTTGACCGGCATTTTCATTTTAACATACGACAGGAAAAACACTGGTCATGTTGGTGGGCTTGAGTTGTTCAAGTGATTATCTTCAGTCATGGTTGGATTTTCTTTTTGCTTGAGCAGAAGTCTTCAGCGATTTCTCTAAAATTTTAGTTCACAAATGAATTAGGAAGGTCAACTGTAAGCAAGAACATGTTTTTGGAAAGAAATTGTTCCAGGAGGTTGGTAATAAGTTGTTAGATCCAAAGTTGAGTAAAAGACACACGCGCGCGCACACACACACAATAAGTTGGAATTAGCAAATTGGACTAGCCAAACCCCTGTGGATTCTGCCCTGAAGGTATTGAATCTCAGTATTGAGAAAATATCTAACAGTTCCTTGAAGTTGTGTTAGTCCCACCCATCAGTATGTGGTAATGCTTATAAAGTTCTCTAGGCTTTCTGACTTGAATAGCAGACAGGATCAGAAAATTTGGAAATGGGGAGAGCAGGAGTATTAATAAGCTTGTTTATATGTAAGTTATAATTCAGATCTGTAAAACCATTGGCTCACTAAATTTTTGTGATTCCCATTCTTGTAATACCAATATTTTGCTGATAGAACAATATAAATACATTTCAGGAAATTTTGGTGTTCCAATAAATCATGTGAAGACAATATTGAAAAAATCATTTATAATTTCCATTTTTTGTAAATTTGACTGTTTAAACATTACATACATTATTTTTTAAAATACGTAAATACTATGGATCACTTAATTTGGCGGGGGGGTGGGGAAATTGGCACAAAATATATTGGCAGGAGTTCAAGGGGCACGCCTGGTTGGCTGAGTTGGTTGAGCATCTGGCCCTTGATGTCGGCTCAGGTCGTGATCTCAGTCATGGGATGGAGCCCCATATTGGGCTCCATGCTCAGTGCTGAGCCTGCTTGGGATTCTGTCTCTCGGCCCTCCCCCATTTGTGCATGCTTTTTCTCTCTCTCTCTCAAAATAAAAGGAAAAGGATTTCGGTCTAACCATTTCATGTCAGAGGCACAAATTGAATTTGAAATAACTTTTATTCAATGCAAAATGTATTTTCTATTGGCAAAACTAGAGTTTTCTCTAATTTCCTGTCTATATTTTTATAAATAAAACGTATTACTTGGCTGAAATTTTAAAATTATTTTTTCTATTGGAAGTTAGAGCAATCTCATAAAATTTTTAAATAAATTGTCTTGAACATGTATTCAATTTTGATTTAAAATAAAGCTAAGATTTGTTATATACTGTGGCAAATATTTACATTTTATAAAACAAACTTTGCCTATGTTTAGTCAATATAATTTTAAAAATAGGATTATGGGTACAAATAATCTTCTGCAGTATATTGAGGAAAGATGAAACTATAGTCATAAATCCCCTTTTTACAGTTACGGTAAGTTCATTTAAAACTGTGTCTGTAGAAATGAATTGTGCAAAACAATATACATGTAACATTTACATTTTTAGGAACTGAAAAGGGCAGAGCTCTCTGTCATTTAAGTTGGAGGCGATCTCTCTTCAGTCAATAGGCTTGATCATCATCTGAACTGCTCTCAAAGAGTACGACCCGCCTCGGTATTCAGCCCAAAATATGCCATCTTGGTATTTGCTTCTGTAATGGCCACCTCTGTACCACACTCCGTTTAGGTTAGAATGCGCACAGGCGTTGTACCACCATCCTCCTTTGTGAAAGTGGGCGCAGTTTCCTTTGAGGAAGAAAATACAGTATCAAAGTAAAAGTTTCTCCAAGCGTGGTACTCCATAAACCATGAAAAACTTACTCTACCTTTGGAATAATTTGAGTTTTTCTTACTGATTTCAGTTACCTTTGTCTTTAGAGTTTTGTTTCTTCATTCTTTTACTGTTGCTGAAGTATCAACTACTTGGAAGATCACTTGAATTGCCTTTTTGACCTTGCCCTTTGCTTGCTTACCATTGCTTTTTTAAATTAAATTAAATTTTAATTTAACAATGAATTAACCTTAATTGTAATTAATTGTAATTTCTGTGTAGCAGGGTAAATAAAACACAAACAGCGTTTGTTTGTATGAGAGAAAGAGGAATAAAATGCAGAATTGGGAAGGAAAGGTATGGAGTTGCTAAAGTAGTAAGTTGGGGAAAATTGAATTCTCAAAAAAGCACAAAATAATGTAAATTAGAATAGCACTACCAGTGGCCAAATGTGTTTCTGTAAACATGGGATATACTTTGGTTATATCTTCCTTTTTCCCTCTTCTGCCATTGTAAACTTAGAGACCTATATACTGCTTGCCAAGATACAGCTGAACAGAAAAACAGATTTTGCAGGGTGATGTCTCTTTATCAGGGCCACAAAACTGGGTTAAAAAGGCAGAAGTATATGAAAACTAATGTGAAGAGTTCTGTTTTCTGGATGGCCTAAATGATTCTTCCTAAACCAAATATTAATTTCTCTGAGTAAAGCTTTTTTGCTGTTGCAGTCCTACTGTTCCCCTTCACGTGAGTGCTAAGAAATGCCTTTACCAAGGCCATGTACCCAAATGGCTTGCTTCCTTTGCTCCCTTCAGGTCTTTATTCAGATGTTACCTTCTCAAAGTAACCTTTCTTGACCACTCTGTATAAAATAGCACCCACCCCACCTCCTGCTGCTTATCACTCACTGTTCTCTCACTCCATTTTATTTTTCTTAGAGTATTTGTCACCACCTGACAAATAATTTTGTCTCCTAGAGAATAAGCTCTAGAAGGGCAGGAACTTTGTTCACTGCTGTATCCTTAGCATCTGTTAACAGTGCCTGGCATGTGGTAGGTGATTAGTTAGTAGTTATGAATTTTAGGCATTAGAGAATTTTATTTCCAAAGGAATGAGTGTTTTTTTCCTCACCACCCTCCCACCCCCAAGTTAGAATGACAGAACCTTATTTTTCACAGAGTTCATTCACACTTTGGGATTGCCTTATAGAAGAGATAACCAACCTTTCAGCAGCTTATATTCCCTGTGACTGACTCCAAAATTACTTTTCTGGAAAGATTTTTAGTAGTGTCTACTGTAATAGCAAGGTTCTGTGTAATACATAGAAGGTAGTGATTCTACAAAGAATACACTTCAGTTTTTTCTTACTCACCTGCATACATATCTTTATCTCTGTCCAGTGTGGTGAACTGTTTACCATTATGCCACATCATAGAGTCCCCTGCATTTCCCTGGTAAGTTCCCAGACGTAGTCTAAAGAATTCACTTTCAGGTTCCAGGCGAAAGCTGCTATATTCTGCATAGACTTTTTTATCACTCCAGTCTTCTAATTCAATCAACAACTTATAATTATCTTGATTGCTAAGCATATAGATATTTTCCAGTCCAAGCCAATATTCTCCATCAATGTTTCCAAACCCTTTCTGTTAATAAACAAACAGCATGAGTACAAACATAAGTGCAGGGATAGTAAACTTTTTTATAGATAAGTTTCAAACATTTGATAACATAAAAATATTTGCCATTTAAGCAGTAATGTGAATTTCCATTTTAATAGCTCACCTGACCTTTATAAACCCCACATAGTCATTTTTTTTTTGTTTTTCTTTCTCTTAGTTTGTCCATATTTATTTATACATCTAGCTTCAAACCTTAGGTATAAGGGCAAAACAGAATAAACATTATTCCTAGCTACTAAAAACATTAGTGAACTAGCCAGATTCTTGAAAAGGATTCCTAATCTCTCTCGTACAAAGAGCCAGATTTTTTTCTAAAGGTATATATGTAACTGTCCCCTGCTATAGTCAGACAAAAAGGATATCTGACATTTTTATGATCACTCAATAAAAATGATAGTAGAGCAAATTGTCTTCTTTAGCTCTATTATAATTAAATATCAGGATAAAACCGTCATCTTCAAAGTTCCACCTTGGAAAAATTGTAGATTATTTTTAAAAAATCCATGAACTGTCCTATTTCAGTAAGCATTCACCATTGCAGGTGTGCAGCACAGCGTAAGTTTCGGCAAACCTGATCTTAACACTAAGTGTATTTTCAAGGAGGTTGTGTTGGGGATTTTCTCCCTGGTTACTTGTTTGGAAATTTACACAACTTTTGACATGGATATATTAATGTCTCATTTTTAGCTGCCAGTAAAATGCCACCTAAAAGTGAGTAATCACATGTTACTTCACAGTTTTGAATGAAGTATTAACCATCTAGAAAATATAATCGCACTCATCTGCCATCCTTAGACTGAAGGGTGTATACTATACACTCCTAGCATGATAAACATCGAAATTATTGAGAAATAATTTTGGTCCCGTATGTCTGGGTGTACATTACTTCCCAACAGCGCCGTTGTCTGGTGTTAACCAATTTAAAACATGGGGGGATGATTATCTGAGATAATTTAACCTAGAGAAAGAGTCATTTTTTTTGAGTTCTATAGTTTATATTAGTGCTTACATACAACTGCTGATGGGTACAAATGTGATCGTAAACAAAAAAGCAGTTGTCTTCTTAGGAAATGGAATTAGTGGTGGTGCCTTGGTGGCTCAGTCGGTTAAGCATCCGACTCTTGATTTCAGCTCAGGTCATGATCTCACTGTCATGGGATCAAGCAAGCCCCACAGTGGACTA